TGCCTCAGCCTCCACAGTAGCTAGAATTACAGGTGTCTGCCACTGCTCTTGGCTCAGGGAGTGTAAGTCACACAATCAGGCAGCGGTCTGCTCAGTTAGAGTCCATGCGCTTAGCCATGGTGCCTTCAAATGACTCCACCAGGGCCACCCCAGTACTTCCTGGGCAGACCAGACCATCCAGGGCGAGCAGGTTGTGCTTTCCTGTGTGGTGGGAGAGGACATGGCATGAAGCTTTGTGTAAATCTGTGCAGCCTCTGCCATTGTAAATCACTGGGCCACCAGGACAGACTACCCCCATCCCCTACCAAAAACTAGAAGAACGGATGGGTGGAGTCGCATCCTTCCTCTGTAGGCATCTGACCACCCACTCCCATTATGGAGCATTTCCTCAGGACCAGGGCGGTGCGGAGCCCTTTGCATAGCTCACTGAATTGGTGCAGCAACCCTGGGCCTGGGGACTACTGTCATCTCCACCAGCCCAGCAAAAAGGGGAGGAAGGTACAGCCAAGGTCCAGCTCCAGTATATGGAGCACACTGGGGTGCCATGAAGATAGCTGTCCAGCCTCTAGAGGCTGACAGTCCTGCCTTGACACCCTGGTTTGTTATCAGACTCTGGCCTCCCCTCTTAGTGCCCATCTGAAGACTTCAGCCTTCGTTCTTCTTCCATCAGCATGCCGTCTCCCCTGTGCCTCAGTCTCCCTCTCTGGAGTATCTGCTGGTGCCATAGTTTGGTTTTATTGTTCTCTGAGACAGGGTATCACTTTGTTGCCCAGGCTGGAGTGCACTGGTGCAGTCATGGCTCACCGCAGCCTTGACCTTCTGGGCTCAAGCCATCCTCTCACCTCAGGCTCCTGCAACTCCAGTATCTGGACTACACGTACATGCCTACATGCCACCATTTTCAGCTAATTTTATTTTATTTATTTTTTATTTATTTTATTTATTTATTTATTTATTTTTAGATAGAGTCTCACTCTTGTCACCCAGGCTGGAGTGCAATGGCACTATCTCGGATCATTGTAACCTCTGCCTCTCAGGTTCAAGCCATTCTCCTGCCTCAGCCTCCCAAGTAGCTGGGATTACAGGCACCTACCATCATGCACGGCTATTTTTTGTATTTTTAGTAGAGACAGGGTTTCACCACGTTGGCCAGGCTGGTCTCAACCTCCTGACCTCAGGTGATCCTCCCTCCTTGGCCTCCCAAGGTGCTGGGATTATAGGTGTGAGCCACCATGCCCAGCCTTCCTGGCTGATTTTACAATTTTTCAGAGACGGGGGTTTTGCCTAGGCTGGTCTCGAACCCCTGGCCTTAAGTGATCCTCCTACCTCAGCCTCCCAAAAGTACTAGGATTACAGGCATGAGCCGCTGCACATTGCCACAGTTTGATTTTAAAATCCACTTTAAGGTGCAATTAGTTCTCCCCAGCTCCTCTTTTCCCCATCCTCATAAAGTGTAGTCACTTCCCTTTCTCCCACTTCTCACCTTCCTAGGTTTTGTTTTTCTCTCTTACCAAGTTTTGAGTATGTAATACATCCCAGATCGGTGCTGAACCCCTTGTGTGAGTTAACAGCTTTTCATGTGGCGTTCTGCAGCCTTCTTACAGATAAGGAAATTCAGAGAGATGAAGTGTTTTTGCAGAGAGCCACACGATGAGCTAAGAAATTGGAACCCAGGGCAGTTGAACTCCAGAGCCAGGGAACTTAACCGCCCATTCATGCATTCACTCAGGAATTCCCTCTTGAGTGCCTGCTGTGAAGGCAACCTGGACGCTGTCTCTGCCTTCCTGGGATTGTGGTGTGTGTAGGAGAGAGACACGAAACAAAAGAATCTTCTAAGTCAGTTTCTAGCTTGCTGGGTACTCAGAAGGGGGAAGCAATGTGCTGCAAGAGGCCGGCTGCTTCCTCCTCACAAGGGGAGGCCTACGGTGACATTGCCAGGCCTGAATCTGCCCTGCCATTGGGAGTGTAATTTCCTCATGACTACAAATGCAAATAAACACACACACTGAACATGCTACCCCGCTGGAACTGTTGACGGCTTGTTCACTGCAGTTAAAGGAAGATGGAGGAACACATTTGAGCACCCATGTGTGAGATCCAGCTTGTGGCAAACCCCTCCCTTCTTTAACGTCTGTGGGAAGTGAAGCCACCATTACTGACCTCGGAGGAATCCCGGAAGTAGTGGGAAGAAAAGTCGCAGATATTTGAAAATCAGGCTGCAGGGGTAGTTGGGGTGAGGAGCATGGACGTCTATGAGCCTGAATCTCAGCCTCGCCCAGGTTAGAAGCCCAGTCCTGATGTAATTTTTTTTTTTTTGAGACAGGGTCTCACTTTGTCCCCTAGGCTGGAGTGCGGTGGCACACTCTCAGCTCACTACAGCCTCGTCCTTCCAGATTCAAGCATTCCTCCTGCCTCAGCCTCCCAAGTAGCTGGGACCACAGGTGTGTGTCACCACACCTTTCTAATGTTTGTATTTTTTTGTAGAGACCAGGTTTCTCATTGTTGCCCAGGCTGGTCTCAAACTCCTGAGCTCATGTGATCCTCCTGCCTTGGCCTTCCAAAGTGCCAGGATTACAGGCGTAAGCCACTGTGCCCAGCCCAATTTTTTTTTTTTTTTTTTTTTAATTTGTGGTCTGGTACAGGTTATTTTACCTCCCCAGGCCTCAGTTTCCTCATCTACTCAAGGGCAATGGTAGATAATCCCCCTCACAAATTCCCCGGGGAGTCAGTAGGCTTGTGCACGCCAGACACAGCTGGCTTACAACAGGTGCTTCATAAGGGGGAGCTGTTGCAACGTCTTGGCAAGTTCTAGGCTGCCTAGCTCCAGAGCTAAGAGTCCCAGTGAGTTCATATCCCTTTGAGCATTTATAGGCTTCTCACAGGTCCCCTGGACTTTCTCAGCCACTCCTCATCTGACCTGAGGAGGTGTGATGTCCTTGCAGGACTCCTCCAGCCCCTCTGAACTTTTCTTTTGTTTGAGACAGCATCTTGCTCTGTTGCCCAGGCTGGAGTGCGATCAAGGCTTACTGCAACCTCCACCTTCTGGGCTCAAGTGAGTCTTCCACCTCAGCCTTCCAAGCAGCTGGAACTACAGGTGTATGTTACCATGCCCGGATAATTTTTAAAATTTTTTGTAGAGATATGATCTCAGGCCGGTCTTGAACTCCTGGGCTCAAGTAATCGTTGAGCCCAAAGTGTTGGGATTACAGATGTGAGCCACCTTGCCAGGCGCTGAGCTCCTTCTGTCTTCCATGAAGGATACACTATTCCTCGCCTTTTGTCTTTTTTTGTGTGTATGTCGCAGGGTCTCTGTTGCCCAGGCTGGGATGTGGTGGTGCGATCTGGGCTTACTGCAACCTCTGCTTCCCAGATTCAAGTGATTCTCCTGCCTCAACCTCTTGAGTAGTTGGGATTACAGGTGTGCGCAAGCCCGCCCAGCTAATTTTTGTATTATTGGTAGACGTGGGGTTTCACCATGTTGACCAGGCTGGTCTCGGCCTCTTGAAGTGTTAGGGTTACAGGCGTGAGCCACTGTGCCTGGCCACTTTTGTCTTTTGGATGTTCTGATCCCCTTGCCTGGAATGCGCTTTCGCTGCCTCCTGGTTATCCCTTAGGTTTCAGCTCTAACATCACTTCCCCAGGGAAGCCTTACCCTCCCTCTCTTCTGCTGTAGGATAATATGAACCACTGTCATCGTTACTTGTTCAGCGTCTGCCCTCCCTGTTAGGCAGCAAGGACAGATATCTTGCCTGTCTTAGGTCCCCAGAACCCAGCGTACGGCTTGGAACATGTCAGGTGCTCCAACATTTGTTGAATGAGTCAGTCTGGGCTCGCAGAGGGAGCTGGGACCAGAGTAGAGTGGACACTGAAGCGTGTGTAGCAGTTTGCCAGGCAATAGGGAAAGAGACCTTCTCGTGAAGCAAGCAGAGATGAGAGGGAGAAATGAGAATAGCTAAGATTGTTTTGAGCATTTGTTATGTGGCTTACAGATACTTTGCTGAACATTTTATTCACATGATCTTGTTGAAGCCTCTCATTTCCATGAGGGGTTCTCAATTTTTATAGACAAGGAAGAGGACACATGAAGAGGGAAGTTACTTTGCCATATCACCCACTAAGGGATTTTTTTTTTTTTTTTTTGAGATGGAGTCTCACTGTCATCAGGCTAGAGTGCTGTGGTGCAATCTCAGCTCACTGCAACCCCCCGCCTCCCGGGTTCAAGTGATTCTCCTGCCTCAGCCTCCTGAGTAGCTGGGACTACAGGCATGTGCCACCACATCCGGCTAATTTTTCTATTTTTAGTGGGTACAGGGTTTCGCCATGTTGGCCACATTGATCTCGAACTCCTGACCTCAAGTGATTCGCCTGCCTCGGCCTCCCAAAGCCAGTAAGGGATTTGAACCTAGGCAGTCTGACTCTTAAGAGCTCAAAGACTTAAGCTCTGTCCTGAGTAGCTTCGCTGGTGTATGGTATAGGGGTCAGAAGAGAGCCTGTCTGGATGCCTAGAGGGCATCCTGCAGTGGGCGTGTGTGTCTGTGATCACAGTGGGAGAGAGAGAGGAGGGGGCATCTGTGGCCAGAATGGGGAGGCCTTGAATGCCAGGATGAAGAGTTTGGGCCTATGATAATGAGAATAGAAGTAGCTGCCAGTATGAAGAGTTTGGGCCTATGGTAATGACAATAGTAATAGGTACCAGTTCTTGACTTTCCGGCCACTTTATTGAGTCATTTAATCTCACAACAGTTCTATGGGATAGGTGTTACTGTTTTCATCCCGGTTTTTCAGATGGGGAAACTGAGACACAGAAGTTGTAGTCAGTTGCCCAAGGTGTCACAGTGAGAAAGTACTGGAGTTGGGCCTCAGACCCTGCGAGTCAGGCCCCAGAGTTCACTGGGGCCATGTGCTCAACCACCATGCCGCCTGCCTGCCGCCGGGGTTGAGCCAGCTGAAACCTGGGTGCTGCTTCTGATGTGGGTGTTCTCCTTTGCTCTCTCCCCCAGCACCCGCACAGGCAGCAGCAGCAGTTCTCATCTCTGGATGACAAGCCCCAGTTCCCAGGGGCCTCGGCTGAGTTTATAGACAAGTTGGAATTCATCCAGCCCAATGTTATCTCTGGAATCCCCATCTACCGTGTCATGGACCGGCAAGGCCAGATCATCAACCCCAGCGAGGACCCCCACGTGAGAGGCGACCTTCCCCACTTCCCATGCCCCCCATGCCCAGGCCCCTTGCCTGTCTCCTCTCTGGTCCCAACCGCCCCACGTCTGTCTGTGCCTCCACCCGCAGCTGCCAAAGGAGAAGGTGCTGAAGCTCTACAAGAGCATGACACTGCTTAACACCATGGACCGCATCCTCTATGAGTCTCAGCGGCAGGTGCGTGGGGACAGGCCTGGGGGCAGGGGGCTGGAATTACCTGAGGTCCCCTACCTGTGTTTGGGCCAAAGGATGGCTCTCAAGGAGGAGAGATTCTCTTTTGGGGGGGTTCCATAGAGTTCGGAGGGTTCTCTCGGGACTCTGGAGGAAAAGTATGAGAGCAGTCCTGCCCTAGGGCAGAAGGATGGACCTGATCACTAAAAACACCTACTGTGTGCCTGGCTGGGGGCTTGCCTGTGCTGGGAGAGGGCAGGGAGAAGGCCTGACAGCCCTTCCTCTTGGAAATACACGGTCCTGAGAAACAGGGTGGGTCCCTAGTGCTTCCTGGAGTGCTCCAGGGGACCACCCTAGGCCCATGTGGAATGTGCTATGATCCCCTGATAAATCCTAGTATCAGGGGACAAGGATCCAGTCAAGCCAGTGTCAACAAAGAGGGAAGTTATTGACTCCAATTACCATACCTCCAGAGGGTCCTCTTTTGGGGCACAGCTGGATCCAGGGGGCTCAAAAGCTGTCATTAGACCTTCTCTCGCTCTGTTCTCCTTTGCCTTGGCTTTCTTCCTCTCCAGGTGGTGGTAGGCTCTGGCAGCTCCTGGCTCATGCAGAGTAGGTAGGCAGAGAGAAAGGGTGTAGGGTACAGGCTCTGAAGCAAGTCTGTAAGACTGAAGTCCTAGTTCTGCCCCTTTCTAGCTCTGTGGTCTTGGGAAAGTTGTTTAAAACTTCAGTGCTTCAGTTTTCTATTTTATTTTATTTTATTTTTAAAATTGTATTTATTTCTTATTTTATTTATTTTATTTTGTTTATTTTTATTTATTTTATTTTATTTTATTTTATTTATTTATTTATTTTTTTTTTTTGAGACAGAGTCTCGCTCTGTCGCCCAGGCTGGAGTGCAGTGGCCGGATCTCAGCTCACTGTAAGCTCCGCCTCCCGGGTTCATGCCATTCTTCGGCCTCAGCCTCCCGAGTAGCTGGGACTACAGGCGCCCACCACCTCGCCCGGCTAGTTTTTTGTATTTCTTAGTAGAGACGGGGTTTCACCATGTTAGCCAGGATGGTCTCGATCTCCTGACCTCGTGATCCACCCGTCTCGGCCTCCCAAAGTGCTGGGATTACAGGCTTGAGCCACCGCGCCCGGCCTATTTTATTTTATTTTTTGAGACAAAGTCTAGCTGTGTTGCCCAGGCTGGAGTGCAGTGGCACGATCTTGGCTCACTGCAACCCCTGCCTCCTGGATTAAAGCCATTCTCCCGCCTCAGCCTCTTGAGTAGCTGGCACCCACCACCACACCTGGCTAATTTTTGTATTTTTAGTAGAGATGGGGTTTTGCCATGTTGGCCAGGCTGGCTTCAAACTCCTGACCTCAGGTGATCTGCCTCCCTCAGCCTTCCAAAGTACTGGGATTACAGGCATAAGCCACTGCACCTGGCCTAGTTTATTTTATTTATTTCATTTTGTTTTATTAGTTTATACGGGGGTCTCACTCTGTCTCCCAGACTGTTGTGTGGTGGTGCACTTGTAGCTCACTGTAGCCGTGACCTCCTGGTCTCAAGCGATCCTCCTGCCTTGGCCTCCCTAACAGCTGAAACTATAGGCATGGACCACCATCCCCAGCTAATGTTTTTAATTTTTTGTAGAGATGGGATCTTGCGTTGTTGCCCAGGCTGGTCTTGAACTCCTGGGCTCAAGTGAGCCTCCCACCTTGGCACCTCCCAAAGTGCCATTGCGCCCAGCCAGTGCTTTGGTTTTCTTATCTGCACCTGCCTCATGAGGTTGGCATGAGGGTTGATGGTGGAATATGTAATGGCCTTAGGAACAGCAAAACTGTCATTTAGCTATCACTTAATATTAGCTTCTTCTTATTTACGATGATCCTATCCATCTTGCAATTATTATCCTTTCCACTTAGCAGTGGAAAGAGAATCGTCTTTGACAGTTCAGCACAAGGCCCAGAGCTGGCACTCATTGGCCAAGCTTTGGTTATAGACCCTGTCATGAACCAATAACTGTGACTGATTGGCCAAGCCCAGGCTATGTGCCCCGCCAGGAACTGAGGAAGAAGAGGAGTAGAGTCCATCTCCCAGGCCACAGAGATGGAGGGTGGGGCTGAGGGTTCCTCTGAGAAAAGTGGGAAGCTTGTTGGGCAGGCAGGCCCTTGGATGTCCGTCATTCTCGTGGGGTCAGGACCTCTGCCAGGCTTGAGAATTTGCATTTGTGTCAAGTGCCCAGGTGACCCTGTTGTGGACACTGCATGGATTCGGGCAGGCAGCCCACTCCCAGACTTTCTCATTCACAGGAATCCTATGCATGGGTTCGCCGAGTTAGGGTAGTGTCTTCACCCTGCCCAGAAACTTCCCTGGGCGTCCAGCGGCCACAGGAGCAAGTCCAGCCCTTCCTGGCCACCCTGCCTGCCTGTTCTCCTGTGGCTTGGTGCTCTCTGCTCCTCTCTCCACAGCCGCAGTGCCAGGCCACACCACCCCTGCACGCATAGGCTCCCTCCTGCCCCGCTGTGAGTTGCACACACGGGCTTTGGAGTCCAGTGGGCTTGGGTCCAGTCACACCTGTGACTTCGGACAGGTGATTTTTCTTGTCTTTGCCTCAGTTTCCTCATTGTTTTAAAGAATGAGGCTAACGATAGAACCACCCTAAAGGGCAGGGGTAGAAATTCTGTGAGACACAGCAAGTAGGGTTCGTGCCTATTGGCTGACACAGAGGAAGCTCTCAGGTCACCTCACCTGTCATCGTGCGGCCTGCTTCTGTTAGGACTGTGTTCAGCTGTGAGTTACAGACCTCTTTCCCACTCCAAAAACAAAACAAAACAAAACAAAAAACGAAACAAAACAAAAAAACACACACACACAAAACCCCAAACCCTAACAAATAAAAACAAAAGCAGTAGCCTAAACAGACGAGTAATTTCTTCTTTTGAATGAAAGAAACCTGGGCCGGGCCCAGTGGCTCATAGTAATCCCAGCATTTTGGGAGGCCAAGGTGGGTGGATCACCTGAGGTCAGGAGTTTGAGATCAGCCTGGCCAACATGGCAAAACCCCATCTTTACTAAAAACACATAAAATAGCCTGGCATGGTGGTGCATGCTTGTAGTCCCAGCTACTCAGGAGGCTGAGGTGGGACAATCACTTAAGCCTGGGAGGCAGAGGTTGCAGTGAGCCAAGATCACACCACTGTATTCCGGCCTGGGCTAAAGAGTGAGCCTTTGTCTCAAAAAAAAAAAAAAAAAAATCTGGAAACAGGTGGTCTGGGGCAGGTCTGGTGGCACCATGATGTCATTGGAGTCATTGGACACCCAGTTTTCTTTCATTGCTTAGATCTGCCACTCATAGCATTGGCTTCTACCTTCTCTGAGGTCCCCTCATGAGCCAAAATGGTTGCTGAAGCTCTCTCCATCACATCTCATTCTAGGCAGGAAGTAGAGGGAAGGTGGAAGTCCAGACATGGCACATCCCAGCTATCACACCACCCTACCTTTTTAGAGCTTTCTGGGTAGTCCCACCTAGTAACATCTGCATACATTTCATGGGCCACTCCTAGCTGCAGGGGAGACAGAAATGTATTAATAATCCTTTAGTCCAGGCAGTTGCTGCCTGCGGGAGATTGAGACCTCTGTTAACAGAGGAGGGGAATAGGATACTGGGAAGGCAATCACGAGCCTCTGCCAGTAGCCCGGAGTCCTGATCCTCAGGGGGCTGGTCGCAGGCTCCTCCCCACGCTAACCTGGACAGTCCTGCCAGGCCCTCAGTACTCAGCACCGCCCACTCACTTGGCACTGGAATGTGCATTAACTTTTAATTGGCTCCCCACTTGGAAGAAAGCACACATTCATCAGTTTCCCCCACAGCAACGGGAAAGCCAGGCCTGGGAACACACGGGGGAGGGCACTGCCGAGCCATGAGGTGCACTGACCCCGGGGTGTCCCTAAGGTGCTGTCCAGGCTGCCTTTGTTGTGCTTTACACATGGCCCTGTGTGATCTCATGTGCATCCGTATGCCAGGGCTGCCCAGAGCCCTGTCCAGACTGCTTGTCAGAGCCCTGCTTGGCTTCTCGCCCTGGATGTCCCACAGCAAACTAATCCTGTCTGAACTTGACCTCGACATCTTCCTCCCAGGCGTGCTCCTTTGCCTCATCTAGTCTGTTTCTCAGTGAAGGGCACCACCATCCACCCGCTCGCCCACACCAGAAACCTCATCTCATCCCTGTCTCCTCCCTTCCCCTTGCTATCCCTTTCTCCCCTCTCATTCCCTCTGTAGATATTTCTTTTTTTTTTTTTTTTTTAATTTTTGAGACGGAGTTTTGCTCTTGTTGCCCAGGCTAGAGTGCAATGGCACAATCTCGGCTCACTGCCTCCCTGGTTCAAGCAAGTCTCCTGTCTCAGCCTCCTGAGTAGCTGGGATTACAGGCATGCCCCAGCACACCTGGCTAATTTTGTATTTTTAGTGGAGATGGGGTTTCTCCATGTTGGTCAGGCTGGTCTCAAACTCCCAACCTCAGGTGATCTGCCCACCTCGGCCTCCCAAAACGCTAGGATTATAGGTATGAGCTACCGCACCAAGCTATAGATACTTCTTTTCTTTTATGTTATTTTTATTTATTTATTTAGAGACGGAATCTCCCTCTTTCGCCCAGGCTGGAGTGCAGTGGCGCAATCTCGGCTCACTGCAAACTCCACCTCCCAGGTTCAAGAGATTCTCCTGCCTCAGTCACCCAAATAGCTGGGATTACAGGCGCCCATCACCACATCCAGCTAATTTTTGTATTTTTAGTAGAGATGGGGTTTCACCCTGTTGGCCAGGCTAGTCTCGAACTCCTGACCTCAAGTGATCCACCTGCCATCGCCTCCCAAATACTAGGATTATAGGCGTGAACCACCACGCCTAGCCTGTCTGTAGATACTTCCTTAGGAATTGCTCAGCTGCTCAGCAGCACACTCTGGGACCCAGCCCCATCCTCTCTCTGCTTCACTGTTGCTGGTGAGCTGGTATTCGTGCTCTGCTTGTGGCCTTGTGTTCTCAGCATGGCTGCTGCATGTCCAGGCTTCTTGGCTGTCTGCAAGGCAGGAAGAAGTTGGGAGTGGATGGGGCTGGCACCAGCAGCAGTGGTCTCTTCTATCCAGAAAGCAAAAGCAGATTTCCACCGAAATCTCTGGCTAAAACTGTGTCGCACGGCCACCTCTGGCTGCAAGGGAGGCCAGTAACCTGAGCGCATGTCTTTTCGAGGCTCAGGATAGGGGATTTGGGAGAAGGAAGCTGGGCACTGATGTGGCCAGCTGACAGGGTCTGCTGCCCCCTAGCACAGCCAACTCAGCTTCCTCAGACACATCCACCTGCTCCTCTCCCACCTCCCCCTGCTACCAAGCTGGGCCTCTGTCCCCTGTCTCCTGGCTCGCTGCAGTCAGCCTTGATGGTTCCATCCATTTCCCTCACTGCAGCCTGAGAGCAATTCTAAAACACAGGTCTGACCACATTGCTCCCTTGAGAAGACCTGTTGGCAGGTTACCACCATTCTCAGAGTAAAATCAATGTATCGTTCCCTTTGTTATCTGGGTGCCACCTTCCTCTCCCTCATCTTTCCCCACCTCTACCACTATACGTCCCAGCCCTTCGGTCCTCACGGTCTATCATTCCCTCTGCCTGGAACCCTCCACCCACCCCATCTTTGTTCATTGGTCCTTGCTGATGCCCTTCCGTGGTGGAAAAGGTGCTTCCTTTGGGCTCCTATCACAGCACCTCGATCCCTCTGGCAGTTCTAAGCAGTCTGGTAGCATCTCCATAAAGGCAGGAACCCTAGCATGGCCTGGCCCAGGACTGGCCTTCAGGCAGGCTGCAAATTCACGGAGGTGTCAGAAGCTGGGTAGGGTTTGGATGGCTCTCTGTCATTGCCCAGCATAACCAAGTGTGGGCCCCCGGTCCCCCCTCCACCCCCAGGGCCGGATCTCCTTCTACATGACCAACTATGGCGAGGAGGGCACGCACGTGGGGAGTGCCGCCGCCCTGGACGACACAGACCTGGTGTTTGGCCAGTACCGGGAGGCAGGTACGTCTGTCTGTGGTTTGGCCCTGTGGTCCCCATTGAGGTGTACAAGTTAGCCTTTCTGAGTGTTCTTCCAGGAGCAGCACAGTGCCAGGAAGGTCTAAGGAGCTGGAAGAAGGGCTTTCCAAGCAAGAAAGAGACAAGCCAGGGTCAGGACTCTGGAGGGGGTGGTCTTCCCACTCTGAAGGCTGGGAAGTGTAGTGGCTCAGGGTCTGTGCTCTTAACCCTTTGTTACCAGTTGTCAGGTTTCGGGCACATCACTTCCCTTCTGTGAGCCTCAGTTTTCTAATCTCCAGAAGAGGGATTATGATGGTACCTGCATCCAAGGGTCGCTGGGAGGATGCAGTGAGGTCAGCGCTCGCTGTGGGTGTGGTCTGTGCTGGAGACCCTGTCTGCCTGGTGCAGGGATCCTCTGGCCCCTCCTTAGGTGCTGTATCCTTCAGGGAGCAGGAGCAGGTGGAAGAACCTTGATGGACCTGAGTGCGGTGCAAGATCAGAGGGGCCCGGCAGGCCCGGCTGAGTGAAAGGAAGGAAGGGTCAAAGACCAGGAATGAAGAAAATCATTGAGCAGGAATGAGTGCCTGGGAGCGAAGGAGTGAGCCCAGGGAGCAGTGAGTGGGGTGTTCCAGGGAGCTTGTTGGTGTGGGGCCCTGCAAGGGGACTACCCTCTGAGTGTCAGCGAGCACTGGTAGGGCTAGGAAGGCACATCTTAACCCTTTGTCTTAGACGCTGCACAGCCTGGGGCAAGTTGCTTAACTGCCCGGTGCCTCTGTTTCCTCATTCGTAAGGGGGATGGTAGCCCTTCCCAAGACAGCTGTTGAGGGGAGTCTTGGGGCAGTTGGCACAGTGCCCTCAGCACAGAGTGAGCGCTCAGGGGCAGGGGTTGGTGTCATGATTGGGGCCTCACCCTGGGACAGCCCTTCCGCCAGGCCAGACCACGTGGCTGTCCAGGGCCCCACCAGCTGTGCTGAGCACTGCACCTGTTTTTGCTGAAGGGGTCTCTTTTGTGAGGGCACCAGGCAGGACCGAGCAAGCCTCATGGGAATCATGGGAGCCGCTGAGCTCTCCACATGGGAGAGAGTGACTGTCCAGCACTGAGGGTCAGCAGAAGTGGCTGGGCAGCTGCAAATGGGACTCGTGCGGAGGCAGCATGGTGCAGGGTAAGGAGTTGAGTCAGACCCACTCTAGGCTTTACTTGGTAGGCCACTTGCCTTGGTGACGCTGTCTGTCATCTGTGAAGTGAGAAGAGTGGTCTTCATCATGATAGGTAGCACTTCCCTGGGCTCTTGACACCAGAGTGCTGTTCTTTTTTTCTTCTCCTTTATTTTTATTTATTTATTTTTTGAGATGGAGTCTCTCCCTGTCACCCAGGCTGGAGTGCAGTGGCATGATCTCGGCTCACTGCAAGCTGCGCCTCCTGGGTTCACACCATTCTCCTGCCTCAGCCTCCCGAGTGGCTGGGACTACAGGCACCCGCCACCGCACCTGGCTAACTTTTTTGTATTTTTAGTAGAGACGGGGTTTGACTGTGTTAGCCAGGATGGTCTTGATCTCCTGACCTCATGATCTGCCCTGCTTGGCCTCCCAAAGTGCTGGGATTACAGGCGTGAGCCACTGTGCCCGGCGGTTTTTTTTTTTTTTTGGAGGTGGATTCTCACTCTGTCGCCCAGGCTGGAGTGCGGTGGCGCAGTCTTGGCTCACTGCAGCCTCTGTCTCGCAGGTTCAGGTGATTCTTCTGTCTCAGCCTCCCGAGTAGCTGGAATTACAGGCATGCACCACCATGCGTGGCTAATTTTTGTATTTTCAGTAGAGATGGGGTTTCACCACGTTGGTCAGGCTGGTTTCAAACTCCTAACCTCAAGTGATTCATTTGCCTTGGCCTCCCAAAGTGCTGGGGATTACAGGTGTTAGCCAACACACCCGGCCAGCCAAGGTGCTGTTATAAGTGCTTCTTAGCCTCAGAGATTGTCATTTCCTCTCACCACACTGCAGAGCAAGGGCACACTGGGTGAGGTTAGGGCAGGCCCCGATGGTGTTGCCTCATTGAGGCACCTCCCGCATCCATGTGAGGCAGGAGAGGCAGGCATTACCGTCAACTCTAAAAGCCAGGTAAGAACCTGAGTCAACAGAGGTGAGGTCATGGGCTCAGGCCATGTTCTCCTAAGGAGTGGAGCCGAGTCCTTGCATGGCTGTCTGACCCAGAGATAGCTCTCGCTGTTTCCACCCTTGGCTGTCCTCCCAGGGCTATATGTGGAGTGTCAGTGGTGGCACTGGCAGGGAGTGGCACCCAGTGAAAAGGAGTGTTAAGAGGAAGCAGGTGCCAGGTGCGGTGGCTCACGCCTGTAATCCCAACACTTTGGGATGCCAAGGTGGGAGGATTGCTTGAGCCCAGGAGTTTGATACCAGCCTGGGCAACATGACGAGACCCCCATCGCTGAAAAATTCAAAAATTAGCCAGGCGTGGTGGTGCACACCTGTAGTCCCAGCTACTCAGGAGGCTGAGTGGGAGGATTGCTTGAGCCCGGGAGTTCAAGACTGCAGTGATCTATGCTTCCACCACCGAACTCCAGTTTGGGTGACAGAGTGAGATCCTGTCTCTGAGACCAACAAGAAAAGAGGTGGCAGGTGTCAAGCAAGAGCAGCAGTTCCCACTGGACCTGGAGTTTCCTGGTGCAAATCAGCCTGTGAGTCTGTATTTTCTTTTTCTTCAAGATGGGGTCTCACTCTCTCACCCAGGTTGAAGTGCGGTGGCATGATCTCGGCTCATGCAACCTCTGCCTCTTAGGATCAAGTGATCCTCCTACCTCAGCCTCCTGAATAGCTGGGACCACAGGTGCACACCACCACACCTGGCTAATTTTTTTTTTTATTTTTTATTTTTGGTAGAGATGGGGATTCGCCGTGTTGCCCAGGCTGGTCTCAAACTCCTGAGCTCAAGCGATCCACCTGCCTCACCCTTCCAAAGTGCTGGGATTACAGGCATGAGCCACTGCACCTGGCAAGTTTGTACTTTTAGCACCTTCCCCGCCCCTACCCAGTCCTTCTCATGTGGGTGGACCCAGTACCACATTCTGAGAAAGCCTGATTCCAAGATCCTGTATCAGTGCCTTGGGCCTTCTTTGGCCCTCTACAAGGCCTTTCTTTCCCTCTTTAACCAGAGCAACTCCTGTTTCCATCTGTTACATGTGCACCACAGCCACATGTTACGTGGATTTGTGTTATGTCCATTCAAAAGCATGTGTCAGAAAATACCAATAAACCTGTATTAAAGTTGAATGTTGAAGTAATGCTAATCACTCTGAACTCTAACTAAAATATTAACAAATGGGCCGGGCGCGGTGGCCCATGTCTGTAATTGCAGCACTTTGGGAGGCTGAGGCGGGTGGATCACCTGAGGTCGGGAGTTTGAGACCAGCCTGACCAACATGGAGAAACCCCGTCTCTACTGAAAATACAAAAATTAGCTGGATGTGGTGGCGCATGCCTGTAATCCCAGCTACTCAGGAGGCTGTGGCAAGAGAATCGCTTGAACCCGGGAGGCAGAAGTTGCAGTGAGCCAAGATTGTGCCATTGCATTCCGGGCAACAAGAACAAAACCCCATCCAAAAAAAAAAAAAAAAAAAAGCCAGGTGTAGTGGTGCACACCTGGAATCCCAGCTATTTGAGAGGCTGAGGCACAAGAATTGCTTGAACTAGAAGGCGGAGGTTGCAGTGAGCTCAGGTTGCACCACTGCACTCCAGCCTGGGTGGCCAAGCCAGGCTCTGTCTCAAAAAAAAAAAACAAAACCGGTAACTGCTGTGTGTAATGTGATCACCATTAAATTTGTATCTAAAGATCGGGTTCTGCAGTAAAGAAAGGGTTTGGAAAGCACTGTACTAGAGAGCTCCCTCTGAATAATGTTCCTGGTCTGAGTGCTTGCAGCATTGATCCACAGCGCTGCCCCTAAGGTGTGGATGTGAAGATTGTCCCACTATTCAGGTGGGGCAAAGAGCTTGTCCGAGGGCAATCCCAAACCCCCTTCTGTCTTCTAACTCAGGAGGAAGGGCCGCCTTCACCTGGAGCGGTTCCCTTTGATGGGCAGGTGGGCGTTCACCAGAGGTTTTGTTTGAAGAAAGGGTTTTACTGCCATACGTGGGTTAGAGTACTTCTTCTGTAGTCCAGAAGTTGTAAATTAGTGGTCTATGCTGTTATTTGGTTCATAATGATGATGTTTTTCTTTTTTTTTTCGAGACAGGGTCTTGCTTTGTAGCTCGGATTGGAGTGCAGTGGCACAATCTCAGCTGCCTGCAGCCTTGAACTTCTGGGCTGAAGCAGTCCTCTGTCTCAGCCTCCCAAGTAGCTGGAACCACAGGCGCACATCACCATGCCTGGCCAATGTTTTGAATTTTTTTTTTTTTTTTTTGTAGAAGCAAGGCCTCACTATGTTGCCCAGGCTGGTCTCCAACCCCTGGGCTGAAGCGATCCTTCAACGTCAGTCTCCCAAAGTGCTGGGATTACAGGCATGAGCCACCATGCCTGGCCATAGTGATGATTTATGGTTAGAATATTTCTTAAAGGTAATTGAATTAGTTGAAAGCACTTAAAGACCAGACAGTGTCTCACTAAGAGGAAGAAAGAAAAAGGCTAGATTTCTGCTTTCTTTTGAAAAATCAGATTGGCCTTGCTGGGCAGTCAGTCAGTCTGAACATCAGTCTCCCTCTTAAAAACAAGCCCGAGCTTTCCTGTCTGTCTGCCGGCATGCTGCGGGTCACCCACGGGGCCGATCTGACTCCCTGCACTGCCCACTCAGCTAACCATTGCCTCCTCCCCTCCTAGGTGTGCTGATGTATCGCGACTACCCCCTGGAACTATTCATGGCCCAGTGCTATGGCAACATCAGTGACTTGGGCAAGGGGCGCCAGATGCCTGTCCACTACGGCTGCAAGGAACGCCACTTCGTCACTATCTCTTCTCCACTGGCCACACAGATCCCTCAGGGTGAGGATGCATGCCCTGGACCTTGCACACATGCAGACCAGTGTCACACCCCGGTCCAGGCCTCAGCTCTTCTGCCTCCCTTCTGGGTGGAATTCTGGGTTGGTGACACCACCAGAGCCCTGGTCTGTGCTCCAGACTTATTACTATTTTTTTCTTTTTTGAGACGGAGTCTTGCTGTGTTGCCCAGGCTAGAGTGCAGTGGTGCAATTGCAGCTCACTGCAGCCTCCTTCTCCCGGGTTCAAGCAATTCTCCTGCCTCAGCCTCCCAAGTAGCTGAGACTATAGGTGTGCACCACCACACCCAGCTAAGTTTTGTATTTTTAATAGAGACGGGGTTTCACCGTGTTGGCTGGGCTGGTCTCAAACACCTTGCCTCAGCTAGTGCTAGGATTACATGCATGATTCACTGTGCCCAGCCCACTTTTTTTTTTTTTTGTCTGAGACAGGGTTTCACTCTCGTCAGCCAGGTTGGAGTGCAATGGTGTGATCTCGGCTCACTGTAACCTCCACCTTCCAGGCTCAAGTGATTCTCCTGCCTTTATCTCCTGAGTAGCTGGGATTATGGGCATATGCCACTGCACCTGGCTAATTTTTTGTATTTTTTGTAGAGATAAGGTTTCACCGTGTTGGCCAGGCTGGTCTTGAACCTGAGCTCAAGTGACCTGCCTGCCTTGGCCTGTCAAAGTGCTGGGATTACAGATGTGAGCCACTGCACCCGGCCTGTGTTCCAGACTTGGAATGCACCTCTTGTCTGGGTCCCTTCAGAAGAGGGCTCTGTTGCTGTCCCCACCCCATTCAGGGGCCTGAAGCCTGTGCGACCACACTCTGGATTTCCCAACCACATGCCCACTGCGTTTGTCTGCTCACAAACACAGCCAACATGTGCACGAGGTTCCACTGTGCCAGTGCTTCACATTCATCGTCCAATAGGACCCTCATTGTGGCCATGGGGACAGAGGTTATTATTTGCTCTTGTTCCTGTTTTCGAGAGCAGGAGGCCCATGTTTTGTGTGTGAGAGAGTGAGAGCAAACGAGTGGGAAAAAAAAGTGCAGGAAGCCTGGCTAACATGGCAAAGGCCTGTCCCTACTAAACATACACAAATTAGCTTGGTGTGGTGATGCACACCTGCGATCCTAGCTACTTGGGAGGCTGAAGCAGGAGGATCGCTTGAACCTGGGAGGCAGAGGTTGCAGTGAGCTGAGATTGTGCCGTTGCACTCTAGCCAAAGTGAGATCCTGTCTCAAAAAAAAAAAAAAAAAAAAAAAAGGAAATTGAAGTCAAAGAGGGAAGTCACTTGCTAACGGTCATATGGCACAGAGGGAGAGGAGCAGGGACTCAAGTCATGGACTGTGTACCTCCAGAGCCTGGGTTCTTGGCCCTGACCTTTGTCTGCCTCAGTCCTTAGAGTCAAGCAAGCTTCCCCAAAGCTTACTGTAGGTGCCCTGAAGTCCCTTCCCTTATAAGAGGCTTGTTTGGGAAGCAAACCCACCAGGTGCCAGGCCTGCACCCTCATAGCGTGGAGAACAAGGAATCGGAGCCCCTTCCTGCCCTCTGGGGCCTGTAGCCTGATCTAGGGTTGGTCTGGGCTCTGGCTTCTTTGCCCTAGGGCAGCTAAGATGCATGAGTTTGTGTCTCTCCAGGCCTCAGCACTGTGCCCGGCACAGTAGAAGGCTCCACACCCCTTAGCTCATAGTGTTCTTCTGTTGGGAAACAAGAAGCAGTTTGAGCCTTTTAGGTGGGACGTGGGCAGGGAAGCTTTCTCAGACGAGGAGGCATTTAGGGGGCATTTGAACTAAAGGTAATAGGGTTTCCACAAGGCTGGCACCTGCCCCTAACCTTCCCTCTGGGTCCCTGCTAAGTCACTTCAAATGTAAGAAGTTCCTGCCGTGTGCCGGTGCCACTCCAAGTACAGGGAACAAAAGCAACGCAAACCTCAGCCTTCCAGGTGCTGCCATCGTGGTGGGGGAGATGGACAGTAACAAAGATGGAGAGGGAATGCCTGGAGTATATGAGGGTGGGGGTTCTGTAGGGAGCAGCCAAGCCAGTGGGGCGTGGTACACTGTGGGGGTAGCTGGGGGCCGTCACTAGAGTGACACTGAAGTATGGACCAGAGGAAGTGAGGGAGGGAGCTGTGTGGTGTCTTGAGGCAGGTGTGAGCCTGGTGTGTTTGAGGAGCAGGGAGGAGCCCAGAGGGGCAGGTGTGGAGTGAGCGGGTATGGGGTGAGCAGGTGTGGGGTGGTTGGAGGTAAAGTCCAGAGGTGGTGGGAGGGGTGCAGATGGTGCAGGTTGGGTGGGGCCTCAAGGCCTTTGCCTTTTGCAGGGATGTTGACTTTTACTTACACTGGGACAGGAGCCGTGGGTGGGGAGGAGTCTGCTCCTCCTTGGCCTGGCTCACCTCTTCATGGAATCCGCAGGTCTCCCTGTAGGTAACAGATTGGGCAGTGTGTGAAGGGCTAGTAAGGAGGCTGCTCGGTAACTTGGGCTTGACAAGGGTGGTGCTGAGGAGGAGGTGAGAGGGGTCAGGTTCTGAAGGTGGAGCAGATGTGGGGAATGGTGGGAAGTCTTGTTGGAGATGATGCTGGAGTCTTCAGCCTGAGCAGTTAGTTGGAAGGGTGGAGCTGCTCTCAGCTGAGCGGGAGGAGACCTGGATGGGCAGATGCTGGGGGCATCAGGAGCTCAGGTGTTTTCTTTCCCCTTGAAGCCTGGTGACCGCTGGCCTGAGCCTCAGAGCCCTGGGTCATGTGAGGGTGAATGAGTGTGAGTGAGTGCGTGTAAGTCTTCGCCCCTGCTCACCACCCTCTCATCCCCTGCAGCGGTGGGGGCAGCCTACGCAGCCAAGCGGGCCAATGCCAACAGGGTCGTCATCTGTTACTTCGGTGAGGGGGCGGCCAGCGAGGGGGATGCCCACGCCGGCTTCAACTTCGCGGCCACACTTGAGTGCCCCATCATCTTCTTCTGCCGGAACAATGGCTACGCCATCTCCACGCCCACCTCCGAGCAGTATCGAGGCGATGGCATTGGTATGGACTCTACTGGCTGCTCCCCGCCCCGCCGGGATCATCTCCTTCCCTCCCCCATCCCCTCACCTTCCTGCCACCCCTGCCCTCCTTCCTGGTCCTTCCTGTGTCCTGTGGTGTCTCGCACTTGGTCAGCCACAAGAGTCGAGGTCCTGAGCACTCAGCCTTGCTCTCTCTGTCCTCTCCCTGCTCATCCCCTTGGCCTCGTGCATGTTCCTCATCTCAGCCCTGGCCTGACCTGCCTTCTCTGTGTCCCCACAGCGGCACGAGGCCCCGGGTATGGCATCATGTCAATCCGCGTGGATGGTAATGATGTGTTTGCTGTGTACAACGCCACAAAGGAGGCCCGACGGCGCGCTGTGGCAGAGAACCAGCCCTTCCTCATCGAGGCCATGACCTACAGGTACCCGCCGCTCCCCCATCAGCACCCCCACAGCGCTGACAGCCACTGTAGCATCTTCCTCATATCGATCACTGTCTCCAAAACATGGCCTTATCACCTGATGTTGCATTTCCCCTTGCCTTGATTCCGTTTCCACTCCTCCTTCCCTAGTCCATCCCCCAGCCTCCCTCCTGACCCCCACTCCAGGGAGCCCCACACTGACCTGGGGCCTTTTGCCCCTATGCAGGATCGGGCACCACAGCACCAGTGACGACAGTTCGGCGTACCGCTCGGTGGACGAAGTCAATTACTGGGACAAGCAGGACCACCCCATCTCCCGGCTGCGGCACTACCTGCTGAGCCAAGGCTGGTGGGATGAGGAGCAGGAGAAGGCCTGGAGGAAGCAGTCCCGCAAGAAGGTGAGGGCACCCCGCCCGGGAGGGTGTGCTGGGGGCTGCTGTGGCCTGCAGAGCTCGGGAAGGATTTGCGGGACACCGAACTGGGAGGCTCAGGGATAACCCCAGTGATGTCTCAGATGTGGCCTGTGGAGCCAGGCTGTTGGGGCCATGTGTGTCCTGGCTCTGTGTCCTCGGCACGTTGCCCTCCACTTCCTTGTCTTTGAAGGGGGATGCTGGTGGTGCCCATTTCAGAAACTGGTTTGAGGCTGGGCCTGGTAGCTCATGCCTGTAATCCCAGCACTTTGGGAGGCCGAGGTGGCAGATCACTTGAGGTCAGGAGCTCGAGAACAGCCTGGCCAACATGGTCAAATCCTGTCTCTACTAAAAATACAAAAATCAGGGCTGGGCACGGTGGCTCATGCGTTTAATCTCAGCACTTTGGGAGGCCAAGGCGGACGGATCACCTGAAGTTAGGAGTCTGAGACCAGCCTGGCCAAGATGGTGAAACCTTGTCTCTAATAAAAATACAAAAATGAGCCGGGCATGGTGGCGGGTGCCTGTAATCCCAGCTACTCGGGAGGCTGAGGCAGGAGAATTGCTTGAACCTGGGAAGCAGAGGTTGTAGTTAGCTGAAATCGTACCATTGCACTCCAACCTGGGCGACAACAGTGAGACTCCATCTCAAAAAAAAAAAAAAGAAAGAAAAAAAAGCCAGGTGTGGTGATGTGCACCTGTAGTCCCAGCTACTGGGGAAGGTGAAGCAGGAGAATCACTTGAACCTGGGAGGCGGAACTTGCAGTGATCCGAGATGGTGCCACTGCACTCCAGCCTGGGCAACAGAGTGAGACTATCTCTTAAAAAAAAAAAAAAAAAAAAAGAAGAAGCTGGTTTGAGGAGTAGGTGGCGAACCGTGTGCGGTGTACGTGCCCTGCCCAGAATCAGTGTGCCACCTTCCCTGGCCTGGTCATTAGGAGCCAGGAGCCTTGCAACCCAGCGGTGAGGGCAGCACCCAGCATAGGGCAGCACTGTGCGTCCAATCCCTGCCTTTCTCTGTGCCTCAGTTTCCTCATTGCTCAGCTGCCTACCTCTTAGGGCTGCTGAAAGCCTTAAATGAATCCACACGCTTGCATAGCACCTGATCCCTGCTAGGATTTGGGGTTTTTCGTTACACCTCTGCTAGGATGATCATTTCCATTGTCCAGGTGGGAACACAAAGGCTTGGAGTGGTTAACTCCTTGCCGAGGCCCCGCAGGAGGAGGCAGGGCCCTGCATGGGAGGCCGGCTGCCTGCCCACTGCCCCATGTCCCCACAGGTGATGGAGGCCTTTGAACAGGCAGAGCGGAAGCCCAAACCCAACCCCAACCTGCTCTTCTCAGATGTGTATCAGGAGATGCCCGCCCAGCTCCGCAAGCAGCAGGAGTCCCTGGCCCGCCACCTGCAGACCTACGGGGAGCACTACCCACTGGAGCACTTTGATAAGTGAGGCCTGCTCAGCCCACCCCCACCCGCCTTCAGCTACCCCGAGAGGTAGCCCACTCTAAGGGGAGCAGGGGGACCTGGCAGCACACTACCCTCTTCCCCAGTCAGCTCCCTCTAAAACACTCGGCGGCCCGGGCGGCTGCCGCTCTTCACCCCTGCTCCTCCAGGCTGTTACATTGTCGGGGGATAGTATCTGCTGCAGTTGCTGGGGCTCCGTCAGCCCTCTTTTCACCTGTTGTTACAGTGCCTTCTCCCAGGGGCTGGGTGAGGGGGTGTACAGGACTAGAAGCCCCTCTGGGTATGGGGTGGACATGGCAGGTCAGCCTGTGGAACTTGTGCAGGTGCGAGTGGCCAGCAGAGGTCACGAATAAACTGCATCTCTGCGCCTGGCTCTCTACCACCTCTGGTCTCTACCACTTCTGGAGTTTGGGGGTGATTTGAGGCCACCCCCAGCTTCTCCACCTTAGATAAATAAGGTCAAGGCCCTTGAGATACCTACTTCCCCCGGAAGCTTTCGCAAGCTGGAAGGTTAGCTCCAGCAGACAGGATGGGGGTGGGGGGATCCTTCAGAGATGGTCTCCTGCTCTCTCACAGAATGGGGCAAACCTGCTGTCCAGCAGAGTAACAGGGAGCCCAGCAGAGCTAGCCCTGCCCAGCAAGGGTGCAGGGGAGCGTCCAGGATGAAGGTCAGGGTGTGGCCTAGCCCTGCTCCCCACCACTCCAGGGCCCCACAGTGAAAAAACAACCCCAGGCCTCAGAGTGGGGAGTGCATGTTTTTCAAACACAAAAGTAGGCAAAAACAGCCCACCAGCCCATCTTTCCTGCCCAGGACCCTGGCTGGGGAGGCCAAGGAGTGGCTTAAGTTGTCCAGCTTCTAGGCCCTCCTCCCTCCCATCAAGACCTGGAAGGAGGGGCTGAGCCAGGGGCAGGCCCCAGAGGCCCAGGCCAGGGCCCGGGCCAGGTCAGCACCTCCGCCCTCCCCACCGAGAGTCAGCACTGGAGCCTTGGGTCTTGCAGTTGTTTCCAGAGCCGAATGCTGGCCTGAGGGCCCAGGGGCCGTACTAGCAGCAGGTTGCGGAAAGCGCAGTGGTCCGCAGTGCGGTCTGCTGGCCAGGCTGTGAGGAAGCCTGGGTGGGCCTGGGGCACCAGGCCCAGGGCTCGGATGCAAAGGCCAGTGTAGACGTCCTCAATGGGGAAGGGTGCCACACGGGCTGCCGCCTGCAGTAGCCAGGGTGCCAGGCGCCCGGCAATGACGTAGCCACCCCCGCTTGCATAGGCTGGGTAGCCACCTTTGAAGAAGGACTCGGGCACGTAAAAGGGTCCTCCTGGCTTCCGGAGAGGCATGGCCTGCGTAAAGACCTCACCCAGGTAGAGGTTTCGGGCCGAGGCAGGTGGCAGGGCCCGCAGGTGAGCCAGCAGGGCAGGGGTGTGCACAAAGGCATCATCCTGGGCTCGCAGGACAAAACTCACGGCGGGGCAGTGGCGGCCCAGCCAGGCCAGCAGCAGCAGGTCTTTGAGCGTCTGGTTGAATGGGACGTCGAGGAAGTCCCAGAGCAGCAGGTCACTGTAGCGACGGCTCTCCCAGGCCACTAGTGAGTCTAGGTCAGGCCCCGCCTCACCCACCGGAGACCCTAGCAGGAAGAGCAGCCGGATCCCTGGAGCTGGACTGCCCCACGTCTCCCTCACGGCCTGTCGTTCTGCAAAGCGCCCTGGTTCTGACTTGATGGCCAACAGCAGGTAGGGGACATCAGTATCCGAGCAGCTGGAGACTTGGCCGCCACCACCTCCAGGCAGCCACTGTGGGAAGCTCCGGCAGGCTGCTGACAGCAGGAAACGGCGGAGGTCCTTGGGGTAGGAGGTGAAGTCAGGGATCTCGGCGGCAGCGGCTGCCCCCCAAGCCTGGCAGCCCCCCGTTTCAGTGCTGTCCCCACTGGGCAGGGACCCCAGCCGCCACTGCTGCTGGTTCCAGTAAGCGAAGGGCAGCGGGCCAGTCTGGCCCAGGCGGGCGGAGAGGTTGGCAGGTAGGGTGGGCTCAGGGTTGGCTGGTGTGGGGCCTGGCGGGGTGCCCCGAGGGCTGGGGTAGGCCTTGCTGAGCCGGGACTCGGATGTCCACTCGATGTACACTTTGAGGCCCAGGAGTGTGAGCAGTGCTGACAGGCAGAGAAGGCACTTGGGGCAGCGCATGACCTGGCCCAGGGAAGGGGCGGCCGCGGGAGCTACAAGGGAGCCACAGGGGAGCCACGGAGGCCATTGGGGTGTGGGGATGGGCCTCCAGAGAGGGCCCAGCCAGGCCCCAGGCAGACAGCCTCACAATCTCCCATAGTCCCTGCCAACCCCCGTAACAGCTTCTCTCAGTCCCAGATCCTAAACAGCTCCCCTGACCCAGGGACCCCGTTGGTCCTTATTCCTAGACCTAGGAATCCCCCATTCCAATCCCATTCCAGCACCCTGTTCTTCCCACTCCGTCCAAATGTTTCCACCTTCCTAAGAGCCCAAGGGTCTACCCCTTCCCTGTCTCCATCCAGGACAAGGGACCCTGCCGCCTATCTCCTCCCTCTCCCTCCATTTATCGCCCTCACCAGGAAATCAGGAGCACGATTCCTAGCTCCCTGGGGTTAGAAACCCAGCCTGCCTCCCGCAACATCCCCACCCCAGGGACAGGGGAACCAGGGATCCCACGCCTTTTTACCTCTGGCTCTGGCTCCCACCAGCTCCGGGTGCTGGCCTCAGGTCAGGCCTCCCTCAGCTCCCTCTGATCTGCCTGCCCCAGCCCCTGCGTTGTCGACCGGCCAGGCCCAGCCCTGCCCAGCCAGTCCAGAGGGGCGAGGAGGGGAGCGGAGCGGGAGCAGGGAGGGCCCCAGGGGCCGGGGCGGGGCTGAGGCAGAAGGGAGGGAGGGAGGGAGGGAGGAGGGCAGGAGGCCGACCTGAGAGATGGAGCTCTGGCGTGTTAGGGCTGGTTTCTGGTAAGACAGCTGGGAAGGGTGCAGGGGGCAGCCACAGAAACAAGACGGGGGCGTTGCGAGGCCTAGGAGGGGAGAACCAGGGCCTGGGGAGGGAGGGGGTACCAGGGAGGGTGAGACTGAGGGCTGGGCCTGGGCTGGGGAGTGTCAGAGTGACCAGGGTGAGGCAGGGTCCCACTGAGGCAGAGTTGGGGAGGCTGAGAGGCTGGCACCCGGCGGCGCCCATGGCCAGGAGGCGGCAGTGAATGTGCTGAGTGGGAAGGGATCGGCGGGCCCGCCAGAGAGAGGGATGTTTGTTGTCGCTGCCCAGTCAGGGTGGTGGGGGGAGGGGCTGGTGAGGGGGAGGAGAGACAGAGACATTGTGGAGAGGGAAGGGACGGCCCGGGAGCAGAGAGGAGAACTGGGGTGAGACAGGCGATGGAGAGAGCTGAGGGGGAGAGAGAGGACAGGAAAAGTGGGAAGGTGGCCAGGAGGGAGAGGGGGAGGGAAATGGAGATCCGAGAAAGATAAGGGGTTGCGGAAGCCCTGTGGGGTGCTCACAGGGGAAAGAGAGGTTGAGAGAGGCAGATGGAGGGCAGAGGGGAGGGACTCAGGCTTCTGAGCCAGACCCGGGGAGTGAGTGGCGGAGAGGGAGCCAAGGGGAAGAACAGGAGAGGAAAAGACTGGAGCTTCAAGGGCAATAGAGGGTGACAGGGTGGGGCCCACAGGGAACCGGGAGCTAAGCTGACCCCCTGTACCTCCTCCATCCTAAGCTGACCCCTGTACCCCCTCCACCCGGGCTGCCTGCCAGCAGGGTGGGAATCCGTTCCTACCTTACCCCCAACCTCCAGCCCTGGAGCCAGCCTCGCCCTGGGCCCCGCCCCTCCCCCAGGGGCGCTGTGACTCTGGGAACACTCACATCCAGCTCCCTGGGGTAGGAGAGGGTGTCTGCCTGTGTTTGCGTCCCTGCCCTCCAGAGGTCCCTGCTGTTGGTACTGCATCAGCTCTCTGAAGACCTCCCAAGACATGGGGTGGGACTAAGGGGCTCCCACTAAGCCTGGGCTGACCCCTTCACTCCACCCTCATTTTGGGGCAGGCCTGTCCCCATCATGGCAGGAACCCAGTCTGTCAGCAGCAGCAGTTGATCTGTCCAGCCCTGATTTCCTCCCCCCAGGTTTGAATAATGGAGCCTGTGGGAACAGCTGGAGGAAGAGAGTAGGGAGGAAGTGGTGAATGTTAATGGAATAATAGCTGGAGTGGGAAATGACAGCTAGGGGCTGGGGGCAGGAGCCCGAGCACCTCTTGAGGGAGTCTGCAAGTTCACTCTACCCTGGGGCTGGGAGAGAGGGACTCCAGACCCCTGAGCTCATCTAGCTTCTGGGGGCAGGGGGTGCTGCTCTTCCTGGAAGCATTAGGAAGCTTCGGAGAGTGCCTTTCTTTTTGCCTTTGCCATGTGCCTCAGTCTGGGTCCAATCAGGAGAGAGAAACCACACAGGAATGGGAATAGGGAAAGTTCAATATACAGAATGATTAACTCTACCATGGGATTGGCCAGTAAGGGGTGCCTTCTTGGGGAACATGGTTGGAGGGTGGACATGCTGGTGGAACATGATCATTCCAATCCAACACTTCCATCTCCCCAAGCCTTGGGACTCCCCTCATCCATCTTACGCTAGGGCAGTTCTGGTCTCTCTGCCTCATTAACTTTAGGCCACTGTTGGATCCAAGTTCCGGTTAGGTACCCAAGCAAGCTATTAGAACCATGTCCAGCTGCACAAGGTAACCCATGAAATCCAGAAGCTCTAGAAAGCACACTCATGCCAGTAAATTTGGCCTGAGCTAGTGTTACATCCACCCTCATTGGTGTCACATCCTTAAAATCCACTTCTGCATGCATTCCCCAAGTTTCTGACTCTGTATTATTTGCGAAGTCTTGTCATTCTCATCGTGTAAAAGCTGGCACCTGTCCACCTGGAGCAAGCTGATTTGACCCTAGGTATTTATGGGTCTAGAGGCAGCAAGGGGCGCTTGTGGTGAGTCTTAAGAAGAAAGGGGTGTATCCATTATTTCTGTGTAAGAGCTGGCCATGAGAAAAAAAAACTGGAGTGGGACAGTGGCTCACTCCTATAATCCCAGTACTCTGGGAGGCCAAGAGGGGAGGATCACTTGAGCCCAGGAGTTTGAGACCAGCCTGGGCAACATAGTGAGATCTTATCTCTAATTAAGGAAAAAAAAAAAAAAGAATGGACAACCACTTTCAAGGTGTCTGCCCCTGGTGAGGTCATCACAAGGTTTCTTCTTTTTTTTTTTTTTTTGAGACGGAGTCTCACTCTGTCACCCAGGCTGGAGTGCAGTGGTGTGATCTCCGCTCACTGCAAGCTCTGCCTCCCAGATTCACACCATTCTCCTGCCTCAGCCTCCCGAGTGGCTGGGACTACAGGCGCCTACCACCATGCCCGGCTAATTTTTTTGTATTTTTAGAAGAGATGGGGTTTCATCGTGTTAGCCAGGATGGTCTTGATCTCCTGACCTCATGATCTGCCCGCCTTGGCCTCTCAAAGTGCTGGGATTATAGGCATGAGCCACCGCGCCCGGCCTCTTTTTTTTTTTTTTTGAGATAGAGTCTTGCACTGTTGCCCAGGCTGGTGTGCAGTGGTGTGATCTCAGCTCACTGCAACCTCTCTGCCTCCTGGGTTTAAGTAATCCTCCTCCTCGGGAGGGTTCAGCCTCCCAAGTAACTAGGATTACAGGCACCCGCCACCACGCCCAGCTAATTTTTTTGTATTTTTAGTAGAGATGGGGTTTTACTATGTTGGCCAGGCTGGTTTTGAACTTCTGACCTCATGATCCACCTTCCTTGGCCTCCTGAAGTGCTGGGATTACAGGCGTGAGCCCCTGCGCCGGGTCACATCACAGGGTTTCTAAGCAAAGGAAGGCTGGTAGGTTTCTCAGACACTGATAAGTGACTCGCTTGAAGTGACTTGGGGGTTCAAGATTGTCTGTTTACTCTGGGTCCAATTAGATGACCCCATTCCAAAGAAGTAAAAACTTTTGGGCCGGGCATGGTGGCTCGTACCTGTAATCCCAGCACTTTGGGAGGCTGAGGCAGGCGGATCACCTGAGGCCAGGAGTTTGAGAACAGCGTGGCCAGCATGGCAAAATGCTGTCTCTACTAAAAATACAAAAATTGGCTTGGTGTGGTGGTGCGCGCCTGTAATCCCAGCTACTTGGGAAGCTAAGGCAGGAGAATCACTTGAAACCAGGAGGTGGAGGTTGCAGTGAGCGAAGAGATCGCACTACTGCAGTCCAGCCTAGGCGACATAGCGAGACTCTGTCTCAAAAACAAAAAAACAAAAAACAAAAATTTGGGGGCTGTCATGGAAGCTGTCTAGTTCTCAGACTGTGACTTGAGCTGAGTTAGCAGAGCCACGCTTGTCACTGTCTGTGGGCACTCAGGGGCACTCTGGAGAATCCATCCAATACCCTGGTCTTTAGAATTGTCACAACTACCACAGCTGTTGAGCGCAGCAGCCACGGGGGTCCCAAGGCACGTGCCTCATCTCTGTCAACCACAGGCGCTTGTGGGATTATGATGCCATTGCATGCAGTGGGCCTCTGGCATCTGGTTTCCCATCAGCAAGAGCTCAGCACTGCGCCCAAGCCCAAAGGCACAACCAAACCAATCCTGGAATCCTATCTTAATAGTCTATTCCTGGGACACTCCAGGTATCAACTCTGTATTCATTAGGATGCAGTCAGGAGAGAAAAACCACAGAGTAACTTGAACAGGGAAAGTTTAATATAGAGAATTACTGGCTTTAACAGTGAACTGGAATAATGAGGGCTTCACTGGTGAAATGCTTCTGAATTGACTGGAAATCCATCTGGGGTGCTGGGGAATGTTATTCCCAGAGAGGTGCCTCAGTGGAGGTGCTGTGTCTCCTACGCAACTTCTGGGGGCTGGAGGGTGCCAAGGGCAGCTGCTGACCGCCTGGTGCTTCAGGAGCTGGGTGCTGGGGAAGCCACACGTACCGCGGGGTCCAGAGGCAGAAGCACAACCAACAGGAACCAGGAAGGAGGCGCCTTTCCTCCTGTAATGCCTGTTTGGTGCCCTCTACTGACAAAGCTTATCCCCCTTCTAAAGAAACGCAGACCAAAAAAGCTGAATTTGGAATATAAAGTCAATAAATCCATAACCAGCAATACCATGGGGCCTGGGGGTGTGCTGGCCTTTAGTGAGTGGGGCAAAGGATGCTGCACATCCTATAGTGAGCAGAGAGGCCCTGTATGGGGGAGAACCATCCCTGTAAAGTGTCAGTAGCAGCTCCTGTGTCAGTCAGGGTCACTGCAAGAAATGGCAGTGCACTCACATAAGGACAGTTTGAGAAGAGTCTCTTGACAAGGTGAGTGTGGCTCTCTGCAGCTACTGACAGCCTGAGACTTTACCTCCCCAGGCCTGAAGAGGGGCATGGAAAGGGCTGTCTGAAAGAGTGACAGGAGCTGTGACCTTTAGCCAAGGGCAGTCAGGAATAAATACTGGGACTTCATGCTCTCTCCCTGTGATTGGCCAGCACCATTCTCCCACCCCCATGTTGAGTGAAGACAAATGGAAGCCAGAAGTGTGGCGAGCTACCAGACATTCCATGCAGCCCGCTGAGAAGCCACTCGAGTGGGGACAGGGCTGAAGGCTAGGCAGGGACAGGGCTGGCTGTGTCCTGAGGCTGCTCCTCTGGCCCCAACTTCAGGCCCTCAGCCCAGTCGACCCCCACAACCTGGCAATTGGGCAGCATCTCCTCCACCAAGATCTGAGTGAGGCCTGGGTTGGACACGGCAGGGAGGTCCGAGATGTCCAGCCTGCGGAGGTTCCTGAAAAAGGGGGAGAAGGACAGGAAGCCAGTGTAAGGACTGTGTGTGTGTGTATAGGGAGGTACTGGCCCCAAATTTCAACCTTAGCTTCCTCAAATAAAATCTTTATAGCTGTCCAGACACACGAAGCCCAGTGTGTTAACTGCAAATATGCAACTCTAGCTCCTACTGTTCTGCAACAGCATCGATATCATAGAGTTTTGACTAAAACAAAAAGGAAGAAAAACCAGGAGTCATTTAATTCTTCCAGAGACTCACTGTGACTGCTCATCTACCACAAATACTCTAGGTCTGTGATGGAGGCAGGGGGATATGAGAACTGCCCAACACTGCTCCTCCCCACTTCCTCTCCTGAGTCTGTGTGAGGTGGGAGAGGTGCCTGCATACGGGGCCCAGCCTGAGCTGAGGTCTCACTGGAGGTGGTGGAGGCAGGCAAGGCCCCGTTCGGAGACGCGGGGACAACCAGCCAGGGAGAGCTCCTGCAACGAGTCGGCCAGTGGGTAGAGGCGGCTGAGACACCAGTCGTCCACGTGGGGGCAGCGCTGCAGCGACAAGGACTGGAGCTCCT